TGTGGAGCGTGCGAGTGTCGCCCTCGGGGGTCCGCGCGGCCCCCTGTGGAGCGTGCCGAGTGTCGCCCTCGGGGTCCGCGCGGCCCCCTGTGGAGCGTGCCGAGTGTCGCTCCTCGGGGGTCCGCGCGGCCCCCTGTGGAGCGTGCCGAGTGTCCCCTCGGGGGGTCCGCGCGGCCCCCTGTGGAGCGTGCCGAGTGTCGCCCCCCGGGGGTCCGCGCGGCCCCCGGTGGAGCGTGCCGAGTGTCACCCCTCGGGGGCCCGCGCGGCCCCCTGTGGAGCGTGCCGAGTGTCGCCTGGGGACGGCGGAGTGCGGTATTGTCGCCAAGGCACCGGGCGCAGCTCCCCTCGTGTCGGTGTGTTTTGACACGGTCGCCAAGTGAAGCCGACGGGAAGGGAAGGCGACAGGAACGCATCGACCGCTAGTCCCGAGTTGCACGGCTGACTCTGGGCTGCCTGTGGCTGCCACTCAGCTTCGATTATGACCTGCTGGTGAGAGGCGTAGAAGACTGGCCATTGAGCGCCAGAACACCACTTACCGCGACTGGAGTCGCTGTACCCTTTGGCAGCCGATGGTGCCATGGTGGGACCGTCAGGCAACTTAACAAACAACAGGGCCGGACGCAATCAACCAGTGTGGTTGACACGCCATGAAGCTAAAAGTACATGGTAGCATTATGCGCATGCGCGACAGACGTCTCTCGGCCCTTCTGTCTATAGGGCCGATGTTGCATCTTACGTTTACGATACGGCCATTCTCCAAACGAATGGCCGTATAAGTCAACCATTTTAATCCGGTGAAAGTGGCGCGCTAATCTTGACACAGAGCCGGCGTCGTAGATCACACTAGGAACATAACGGCGCGGTACCAGTCCGCTGTCGTACGATTCATATGTCTTGCTCGTCCGGTGCCAGTGTTACACAGGCTTCGGCTGCGTCGTCGCACACCTTCATAATGCGGTGATTTCTTTGTGTTGCCGTGTGTGGCATTTTTCTGGAATTGTCACATCCGCGCACACGCTGTTTACATGTTGGTGTGGCTGTGGAATTTAGAGTTTTACGTATATGTCTTTGGCTCGGGTTTTAGCAATTGCTAATGGGAATAGCAATCGACGATCGACTTCACTCCGGGTGTGTAGGTCCATTCGTTATGGAGGACTCTGGTGCCTGTCGGGGCGTGGAGAGTTAGCTCGTACGTCTCCAGGCCGCACCGGCACCGGCCGTCGGCCGTCGGCCGGGCGGCAGGCTGACATCGAGCGCGGCCCGCCAGCAGCGGCGCCTTTTGAGGATGTGGTGTGCCTGGCATCATAATTATCACTTGTTTGTAGGCTTACATACATTCCGCAGCGTGGAGGGTGGCGAGGGGACACCGTCAGCCAGTTGTATCTGCACCCGATGTGTTGAATAGAAAACACCGAGGCGAGACGGTAGGTCCCTCGTAAGCGGCCCACAGCTTCACCGGCTCATCTTAAAGCATTCCTTCACCGCCGACCTGTCATATTAGGTCAAATACAATCAAAAGGATTTTGCCGTCCCTTTGCTGCTACTGATGTGCTCACCATTGGGCTTAAACAAGCTTGGTTATTTAGTACAAATCGTTATTAAAAAGTAGTAGCTAGTGGGTAGCGAAAATAAAGGTTGTAGGAGGTCCAATACCATGAGAGGGACATGTCACAACATGCAGACTCGGGCAAACCCAGGCAAAGTTTTTGGCTGCGCACCTGCTAGCGTTATGGAGAACAGACCCGCTATCACAGCTGACTGGTCTTTCTCTCAAGCATGTAAGAAACAATACGAAAAGTCGTTAGACCACCTAGCAATAATTATATTGGCAAATATCTCATGACGAGATGAATGATGTTTTCCTTGCCAGTGCGTGCTTAACTATCTTTTCACAGACAACACCACATGTAGATGCCAAAGTGTTTAGGATCCTCTAAATAACTAGAAACACGATTACACCGCTTGATGAATTTCCAGTTTCGTTATATGTCTAATACGGCACCAAGTGTCAAATCTCTCATGTGCCCCGAGATGGAGAAAGCATTTTACAAACAGTTGGCGCATCGCGATGCTATTTATGTGGAAAAATGTGCATGACGGTAATCCTGAACATGTGACTCATCTTATCCATACATATTGCTTACACGGATATACTACCTCCGTCTAAGAATCGCACAAAGCGCCTGCATCAGTATTACCGTCCGGGAGCTAAAGTTTAATTGATTTTCGGTATTTTCCCTCTATTGATGTCATATAGTACCCAGTGTGGATATCCCCGTTGCAAGCAGTTAATACCGAAGCGTTCCACAGGTTGCGTTCTAGGGATTATGTGAGATTCCATGACTTTCAATTTTCGCATGGGACGATGGTATTGGTACTCTATTTAAGTCTGCCAGATAGAACGAAAAGGCATCCACATTTTCACTCGCCTATACGGTACTATTTTTTAGTCGGTGCAACTCTACTAAGTCTGCAGGATAGAACGAAAGGGCGTCCACATTTTCGCTGGCCTGTACGGTATTATTTTTTAATCGGTGCACTTGAGAAAACAGTTTTGACTATTTTAAACCTTTGGCCCAACGCGACGTGAATCTTCAAGAACTCATGACCACGGATGCATGTCCGTCATTTGTACATAATGTGATGACGTGTGCTGGATTGACTTCTACTCCTAAAGTTTGTCTGGCACGGCCTTGACCTCCAGTGGGACGATTTATGTACTTGGCCGAGGCGAAGATCACGCACATTGGTGACCACGTAATCACTTGACGCATTAGAGTGAGAAGGCGAATAAGTCAGGTGTTTACAGGTCAAGGGTGGCTTACGGAACGGCGATTTTCCACATTTTCGCCTTGTGGACCCTTGAGAAAGTGCGTTGTGCTGCATTCTACAGTTCGTCATGCACATTTGGGTAAATTGTAGCGGTGGGCGTCAGGCCTCGTCCGGGCGAGCGACAGAGCATCGTAGTTAATGTCGTAAATCGTTTGTTTATTTTTGTCACCATACTTTTTACAGCAAGGCCGGGTCTGTGGCGCTTAACGTTTGCAATTTAATGTGATCGGCCGACAACTCCAGGAGATTGCCCGAGAGCTGACGTGACGGGGTTTTGAGCAGCGGCTGGGGGCGCCGCTCGCGATCAGGGCGGCGGGTGCTCGAGGCGAGGCCCGTCCTCGCCCTCAGACCCCGCAGCTAGAGCCCGCCACCCACCGATGCCCAGCCGCCCGGCTCCGACAGCCATTGGCTGTGAATTATTTCTGGGTTACTGGCGCTGGTTCGGCTGTTGTGCGCCGCGGGTATAGGAGCGCGTGGGTTATTGGCAACAGTCGGAACTTACATCCAGCAGAAATCACACTTTCGAGTAGCTGAGCACGCGGTGAGTCTTATGATATGTTTCAGTCGGTCTCTACATAGAAAGGCGTTTTTCAGTAAAGATTTGTCACCATGTGTTTTGATCTGCTGCGACTTGCTGTATTTGCGCTGCTAATGTTGCGTCACGTTTAATGTGCATGAGTAGCGAGGTCCGCACTAGCCGCTGATCGCCCTGCGCTAGGCTCTGATTGACTGGAAGCCGTCCATGTATTTGGCTGTATCGATCTGTCGGGCCAATATGCCATGCCTGCCGTCTGGTGCCGGAGTGATCCGTTTCTCCAATCAACTCATCGAACTAGACATAAATGAAACATGCCAGAAATATTAGCCGCGTTATCGAGGCAGACATACAGTTGCGGCTCACCTCTGCTAGTGCAGTGAGTGTTGTTGCCCTGTCGCGCTGTATTATACAGCATCAAGTCCCAAGTGATGCCGCCGGCGTGTGGGCGTGCGGCGTGAATATTCATTGCCGGCTGCGGGTGGTGGGCGGCGGCGCGCCGAGTGGGCCGGTGCTGACCCCTGCGCCGGAAGGCGCATGTCGCGGGGCCGGTGCGTCGGAAGAGTTGGCTCAGCTCGGCTCGGGCCTCCGGCCGGCCTGCGAAGTATGTTATGCGCCACGCATTGTTCCCATGGTTGACAGGTAGCCGGCGAGGGTTGACCCTCGGCTAGTTGTTAGCTAGCCGCTTATGTTGGTCGAGCCGAACAAAAGGCTCATTCAGACTTCAGTTCACGCATGATACATCTCTTCACACATAATACACTTATCACGATGGTCACACATACACCTGTTGACATAATACCTGTTCACAGAAACCTGCAACAAACGGATCACATTCAAACATCACCTCCCTTCCAGCATGCATGACCATTAATGTTTGAATTATTAAGTGTTTGACTGATCTCAAATGCGTTGAATGATAACACAGCAACGATATGCCTGGCTATCCTTGACTCCTGTGTGAGCTATAGCCTCAAAAGAGCAGCCAACGCATCCCAAAACCCCGTGTTAAAGGGTATACGGGGCGTTTAAAACAGCGATGATTGCGCTCATTTTTCACTCTGTCCGAGCTTTCATGTTTGATAACACTGCCTTCTGGCCTGACATTTCCCACTCAAATAGCGTGGCACAAATTGAATTTCGGGACGTCGCCAGTTATTTACCGCTCCATTTAGGCCGTTGATGCATTCGCAATTGCCGTCCGCGGGGTGCTGATAGTATTAATGTCGATAGGTAGTCAGCGGTCATCTGGCGACGAACTTCACTCGGTGTTTGCCGCGCTCGATAGAACTACCGAGGCGGATAAGCGGGACGCCGTGAGGACACAAAATAAAGCGAGAACGAGGAAAGAAGGGCTTAGTTGATGTCTGTGTGCCACTGCCCCTTGCGCTTTGAGATGCTGTTCCCCGGTGCCTTGCATACCCACGACCACGCGCGTGATCCAGTCCAGCCTGGCGGCGGGCTGACGTGGTCATGCCTGGCACCACCGGCGGCGGCAGAATCTCCGGTCGTGCCGCGTGCAGAGACACGTGATCTCACGCCGCATCACCAGCTGACGGTGGCGGTCGTGCCGTGTGCTTGCGCCGCGCTCGGTCGGCGGTGCCGTGACGCCACGGCCTGTCTCCGCCGTCAGGTACCCCAACATCGAGCTGACATACGAGGTGGCCGACAAGGAGCGGCTGCGCTCCGGCCACCCGGTCCACCTGGTGGTCAGCCTGGAGCGCGAGGACGACGTGGTCGGCCCGGTCATCGCGCCCTTCTTCCCGCAGGTGAGCGCCCTTCTTCCCTCACGTGAGCGCCGTTCTTCCTGCAGGTGGGCACGTGGTGTGGCGCCGGCGACGCGTCAGTCGCTCGGTCGGTCCGCCCCGGCCGGAGGCGATATCCGTTCGGTTCGCCGGCCGGACGAGCGGAATGGCGGCACATTATCTCAATGATGCCACAATGGCGGGCCGGTCAGACGGCGGCGGGAACGCTTGGCCACCGGCCAGGGGAGGATGGTCGGCTGGCACGAGCGGCTCGGTCTCTCCTCGCCGCCGCCTAACACGGCCGTCTCACGGGGCAGGTGCCGCTCCGCCGGCCGGGTCGGCTCAGGATCAGGCGCTGCCGTCAGCTGATCGTTCGGCCGGCCAGCGGGCGGTCAGCTGACTGTTGGCTCAGCTGATTAGCTTAAATGACGTCCTCAGCTTAGCTTAGCTTAAAAAGCTGCTGCTCAGCTTAAATGGGATTTTTCATGTTTGAAGATATTGAAGCAAGGATCAGGTATGCTAAAATAATCTCACTAAACTATCGGTTCACGTGTAAATGAAAAAGACTGCTCTGGTTAATGCAATGGCGGGATGTGAATGACATTATTATGGCGCCATGGATGCCTGGGTGACCTTGAAATAGTAGCCCTGAAATAGTATGCACATTTTCGCGGGTTTGTAGCTCAGGAATTAGACGAGTTTAGGTCTTGACAAGGGCAGGGCTGTGAACTGCGCTGAATTATCTTCAAGATGGCTACTTCAGTTCAAAACCCCAGACAAATGTGGAACACTCTTTAAGGGGATTGGGCACAGCGTGTTTGAGTTAATGACTAGAACGTCGGGCGCACTTCTGATTCCCTGAGCAGTCTTATCGTCTGGGATAATTCGTATATAATTGATGCCAGAAGTTTTTTTCTTTGCACTACGATAATTAGGCCAGCTTTTGCTCCTCGCTCGGCATTTGTGGGCTGTGAGTCCCTATAGTGGTGTGCCCATTATGACGATGATGATACCTGTCCAGTGCCCACGCGGGACCGTAATTAGCATACAGATCGAGCGGCACCACCACGCGCCACACGCTACCAAACTGTCCCCGGAGTCGCTTGTGACCATGAGCACGTTTTGAGTCGTCGAGTATTGATCATGTAGCGAATGCTTGCTTGATGACGTCGCTGAACCAGTTTAACCAGCTTGAGCTGGTGCATTGCAGACGATTATTGTCGGAACATGAATTCCTCACTCACAGTTCCGAACCACCTGAGGCTCAAGGCCTTTCTTGCACCCATTAAAATCAGAGTTCTCTGGCGGTTAGCGTCCCGTAACTAGTGGGCCGACCTTGAGAAAAACGTACGCCTTCAGATTCGGATTTTCAAGACCCAACAGACCCCCACCATCTCGCCAACGTGCGTTTTTAGCCTCAGGGCGCGGGCATTACCTAGACTAGTAGTGGACTGTTTCAGCTGTCCAGCCCAGCCCGCTGGACCATTTATACTCCAGTTCGCTGGGAGCCATTGTCAGTAGCGAAATGCATGTGCGGTGCGTGCCCGCCTCCCAACCGGGCGGTGCGTTACAACTGAGTTCGATGCTACCCGGGGAGCCACGCCCGCTCTCTGGAATTCCGCTTTCAGTGCAGTGTTCCTTCCGTGAAAGGCTTGCAAAGCTGGGTAGAAATAAAACTGACGATACGACAAAAACTCACATGAATACTTCACTGTTTGTTTATTTCAGCGGTGAAAACTTGCTGTGTATCATGTTTATGTGATGGCATACTTGAATTATATCATTGTATGTGTGACCGTCTTTACATTACGTCGTGCTTCTTTGTAATTTTTCACCTGTGCCTGCCCTGCTTACGCTGTGTTAGATGTAACTTTCAAAAATTAAAAAGTCCGTTGAGACCCGGATTTCAGGGTAAAAGATGTGCGATGAATGCAATGAACCTAAAGTTTCAGTGCACCGGATGCACCAAATTATGCTATTTTAGGTACTGTTTTAAATCATGATATAATAGCTTTAAAGATGTTATCACGATTTGTGACCACATCTGGGCGTTGCTTTACGCGGTCCAAAACTCCTCTTGTTCGGCTCGAGTTACGCGGTATCTTTCCCTCTATATGCAGCGTAAGTGTGGATGGCCCCTCTTCAGATGTTTCGAATTTGTTACTAAGATCCCAGTCTTTTCACATGTCATACATTCAAAACCAAACCAGACAATCAAGACTGGTGATGTCTAAAAATTATTACGTGGCAAAAGATTATAACTGAATTACGTTCAAATCACGGCGAAGTATGAGAGCTCCCATGACGACACACCGTCTCCAGGGCTTGGCGTCAGTCACCACGACCCCAGGGCTTGACATCAGTCGCCGCGACCCCAGGGCTTGACATCAGTCGCCACGACCCCAGGGCTTGACATCAGTTACCGTGACCCCAGGGCTTGACATCAGTTGCCGCGACCCCAGGGCTTGACATCAGTCGTCGCGACCCCAGGGCTTGACGTCAGTCGCCACGACCCCAGGGCTTGACGTCAGTCGCCGTGACCCCAGGGCTTGACGTCAGTCGCCACGACCCCAGGGCTTGACATCAGTCGCAGCGACCCCAGGGCTTGACGTCAGTCTCCACGACCCCAGGGCTTGACGTCAGTCGCCACGACCCCAGGGCTTGACGTCAGTCGCCGTGACCCCAGGGCTTGACGTCAGTCGCCACGACCCCAGGGCTTGACATCAGTCGTCGCGACCCCAGGGCTTGACGTCAGTTGCCGCGACCCCAGGGCTTGACGTCAGTCGCCGCGACCCCAGGGCTTGACATCAGTCACCGCGACCCCAGGGCTTGACACCAGTCGCCACGACCCCGGGGCTTGACATCAGTCACCGCGACCCCAGGGCTTGACACCAGTCGCCACGACCCCAGGGCTTGACACCAGTCGCCACGACCCCAGGGCTTGACATCAGTCGCCGCGACCGGGCCGCCCGACCCATTCGGGTCGTGATCGAGATCCTATGATTGGCGACGGCGGGCGGTTCCGGGGCGAGGCCGCACGGAATGAAAACGCCGGGCACCACGCCCACGAGCGAAAAGTCGCGGCGCCGGCGTGTCCGCCCGTGGTACGCGGTTGATGCGCTGTCACAGCAGTGCTTGGACTGACAGCCCAGGATCCGGGATGACTATCATGTCTGTTCTCGGGATTTTTTCGATGCCGGTGTGCCGTTTGAGGAAGTGCATTTACTGAACGAGGTCCACTAAACGAGCAGCTGAGGTTCGGTTGGGGCAGTGGTTAGCTGCGCGTCTGGGGAACCAGAGGTATGGGGTTCGATTCCCTCGGTCCCCGCCCTATTCGCAAGGGTGAGAGACATACGACATCACGTAGGCTCACGAGCTGAATGGGTCGTTGTCATTAGGGCTTTACGACGCCCTTAGCTACTCAGGCTATATGACGTCGCCTACCTTCACCCTGGCAAGGAGGGCGGGCACCTGTGAAGGGACGGATCGAACCTGTACCTGTACCTGGTTTCCCAGACGTGCAGTGCTTAACGCGGACGCGTTAACCACTGTGCCATCGGCACCCGCTGAAGGGATCGTAAAGGTCCAACGACAACTGAAAGGGCTGGCAACTTTAACGTAAGTTTGATTGATTTGTGCTGAACATAAACAGCGCCGTGCGGAGGTTGCCACCGAACATCATTCAGCGGATATACACGCTGCTCGGACCGGATACCATTCTGCCCTCGTACAACTTGACGCGCAGAGTCTGTTTATATATCTTCCAGTCAGCGTGTGCCTGCCCGTTAGTTTTTACTGTTAGTTTAACTTCACAGTCTGCTTATGCCTGATCCTAAGGTTTTTACACAAAGTGCTCACGACAGCTGTTTGAAAGTGTCCCGTCCTGAGGGTTGACATTACCGAGCAGCACGTGGCGAAGAGCGAGCGGATTGCGACGGAAGGTCACGGATCCCCCAGTGTCCTGAACACATCGATGTTGTCACCCTGATTGACCTGCTCACCCACACGGATCCCCCAGTGCGCTGAACACGTCGATGTCGTCATCGTGGGTGACCTGCTCACCCACACGGATCCCTCAGTACCCTGAACACGTCGCTGTCGTCATCGTTGGCGACCTGCTCAGGCCCACGACTCAAATTTAGTGCCCCCAGTTGAATAGATGTAGCTTCAGCTGCCTGCCGTCGTCTGGTTGTGTCGGCCGCGACCGCGCCAGCTCGGGCGGCCGTCAAGCCCGTTGGAGTTCTGCGCCGGATCATCACCGTATCTCCGTCGCGTGCCCGCATCTGGCATCGGAGCGCCGTCGCCGATCCGGGCACGGCTCACTGTCCCGCGTCAAATCACGCCGACCCGGCGCGGACGCTGGGGCTGACATCCGAGCCAGGCCGGCTGGTCGTCTGCGCGCCCGCCGGCCGCCACGCGGCGCGTGACGCCGTCTCCCGGCTGTGCCGTGCGGCGCCGGGGCGCCACACGTGGTGCCTTCCCAGGGGCTCGGCTCGTTGCGCCGCCCCGCCACTGACCTCGGCCCGGCTCAGCCGCAGTGCCCGATGCATTGCGGCAGATTTCCTCAGGGGCGTGTTGGCGCGCTCTGCCCCGCGCTGCCGTGCCCCTCGACCCCTGTTCGTGAGATGGGTCGCGGGTCGACTCCGCGGCGGTCTGCATGCCGTCTCGTCGTGTGGATTTAGCCCGGCTTTCCGCTCGCCACGTGCGCCGGGGTCGAGTGCGGTACGTGTGCTGGATCCGTGTTTCGATTTCCCCGCCGGCTGGGTAGGCTGTCTGACCGACAAGGCTGAGCGCGCGGCCATTTGGCGGGTCCGTGATCGGAAGACGGCTGTGATTCGTGGTGTGAAGGGAACGAAACTCGCAGTCATTGAGCTCGCAGTTGTCATCTGTGGGGACCTGGGCTATTCGTGTCGACCGTCGTATGGTGCGCCCGTGTTCCATCGTCGCGCAATGCGGACCCCCCCCCCCCCCCCCCCATCCTGTCATGCAAGTATTCCAACAGTTATGCGAGGAACTCACCGGCAACTGCGTATGCTGCCCAGCCCCCTGACTGGCAGCGCATAAGCTTGGTGCAACTTGAAACGAATGAGCTATTTGTGGTAGGCGCTGCGACACGGATGGCGTCTGTCGATGTATGCAGTCAAAGCTGTGATTTAACGTGCCGTCAAACGTGAACTGCTCTCTCGTATCTCTTGTTCAACGCCCTGTTCTTGAGGAGTGCAGTCATGCCAAAATTCCCTCAGTTCAAAATTCCCCACTCACTCACACTTACATTCACGCCCTCTAGCTTTTGGTCTTCCTCTGGCTCCCTCAGGTATATTGTTATTGTAGCGGGTAGTAGGTTTACACAAATTTATGATGAACAGACGACAGATCCGCATCCAGCGCAGTGTTCTGGTCACGTTGGCCGTGTGTGCCAGCACCAATCGAGCCCGGCCTCTAGGCTTGTGCCCACTCACTCTCGAAATCACTGCGCCTTGGGCGACTCCCTGAACAAACAGTGCTGCTGTGGTGGCATGCTGGTGTGGCGGCGGTCTAGTCCGCCGGGCTGTAGTATTCCTGTGCAATGCTGGGCCCGTCATATCATATCATGGCCGTCAACCCGAAATGGTGGACCAGTGCAGCACCCAGTTTGAGCCAACAGCGAAGATGTAGAAAGGTTGGCAACACGCGTGCGTTGGGAAACTAAAAGAAGAAACATGATTGTGTTTGTTCTTGCAGTCGGACTTGTTGGCCGTGTCTGCTCTTAGCGTGGGCGAGTCCCAGATGAGAGGAGGTCGTCTCCGTGACGGGCGTTGCCAGCGCCGGCCGCCTGCGACGCGTCAGGTCCGCACGGCTGCCCGCCTCGCCAGCGGCCCGGCGCTGTCTCGCCCGAGCCGCCGACGTCAGCCGACGCGACTGACGCGTGACCCTATTGCCCGGTAGCGACGCGACGAGGGCTGGTGGCTGGTGGTCGGCGACCCCAAGACCAACTCGCTTATCTCGATCAAGCGGCTGACGTTGCAGCAGAAGGCCAAGGTGAAGCTGGACTTCGTGGCGCCGTCGCCAGGTGAGGCCCGCACGCGCGTGCTGCGGCCGGCCGGGTGCCGGAGCGGGGTCGCCCGCGCAGCCGGTACGTATCGACCACGGGCAGTGTCAGCGCCGCCGCCCGGCCGCCCGGCGCCCGCGCCCCTGACAGCCGACTCGGATATGTGTGCGCACGAGCTTGCGCTGGTCACGCCACAGGAGACCCGGGCCGCCTGTGAGAGCCCGCTGTATGTGCTCGGGAGATACGGGCTGGTGCTGCGGCACTACGTCCTTTGTGGCTGTCGGGCTTGGCAGGACTTCAGCGTTTTAGCATAGATTGGTGCTTGGTGTTGAGTACTTCCTTTATTTGTATCGATGCTGGACGTCACAGGCTGATGAGTGACCAAGTCGTGTTGCGAAGAGTCTGTGCGGTCGACCTAAAGCTGGTCATGCGAGCGAGGTCGCAGCCCGAATAAGTGTTGCGTGAGCCATGAGATCAATCTGAGCTTGAGCTGCCTGCCCCAGCTCGTTCATCCCTTTTGTAAATGAAACGTGACGCTCATCATCGCTCACCCTTTTGTAGAGCGTCAGCGACTGCAAAGGCCATCGTGGCGCTTAGGGGGTGGGGCAACCGGGGTTCGAACCCGCCACCGTGCCAAACCATGTCTTTCGCAATGCGCTGTGCTGTTAGATACACACAGAACATGGTTAAAATTTACACGCAAATCTAAGTTTACTGCAACGCCAGAGTGGTTTCAACTGAAAGCCGTGATGTGCTGAACCGGGTTCTCATTAGGAGTTCTTAAAACAGCCTTTTAAGTTGGGGGAGGGGAGGGCGGAGTATGGATCCTTCTCATCTGTAAAATGAAGGAATTCACTTAAGTCCCAAAGGATGAGTTTCAATGTTCCAAGTGACAAGCCATGTCCGCCCTGGACCTTGAGTGAATGGATTGGAATAATAAAAAAAAAAACAATGCTCAAAGCTTGCTGGGAAATGAATATAATGAGCCAATCTTCCGATCCAGATTCTGGCGTCTGTGTTCAATTTACATATTTGTCTCCGGCTTGTCAGTGTTTCCGTGACAGACTTCGTCTCGCTCCTGATCCTGTCACCCTTCGCCCCCCCCCCCCCCCAAACCATCCGGGTATTTTTTCAGCTGACCCGCCGTCGTACGTTGCAGGCAAGCACACATACGTGCTGTACTTCATGTCAGACTCGTACATGGGCTGCGACCAGGAGTACAAGTTCTCGCTGCAAGTGGGCGAGGCGGACAGCGACAGCGGCAGTGGCAGCGGCAGCGACTGAGCTGCAGCGGCAGCGGACGGTCTGCCGTGCCGCACACCGCTAGTGGCCCGTGTGCGGAGGCGGCGGTGCCGAGCTGTGAGCGGACTAGTGCGTGGCCGTGTCTCCGTTTCTGTATGCGCGGTGGCGAAGCCCCGGCTGCGGCTGGAGCGCCGAGCGTGCGGCCCTGCGCCGGCCGCGATCCTGCGCGGACCCCCGACGGCACGTCGCCGCCCGCGCCATCGGCCGTCAAATAAATCATCACTCACCCTGCCGTCGTTTGTCTCGAGCTTTGCATTCTGAGCGGCATCGACGCGGCGCCGCGGCCGGGCCGGAGCATTCATCAGGCTGGGGTGGCGGCGGGCCGACGGCCGGCACCCGGGCCGTCGCCGCGGCGCGCGCGCGGCACGCCACCGCCTCGGGAGTGTTGACGGCGCGAGGTCAGGCGCGGTTACTGTCTCCGCCCGCGTTCAGCCGATGCCACCGCGGCCGGGCGGCGCGATTAATAGCCACATTTTCCACATTTTGGTGTTAACTGCCACACGTTTACACTCGCAAATGCCCTTTTTACACAAACCTTTCGCTTAGTAGTGCGCGTGTTCGCACATAATGCACCTCTTCACACGTAATACGCCTGTTTTACTTGTCACACATACACCTGTTCTCATGCCTGTTCACAGAAACCTGTTTATAGACGGATCGCATTCCCTATTGCGACGCTACCAAATGAACTGTTCCCTAACATAAAACATGCAAAATGTCCTTTTTGCGCCTCCGGCAACGCTGGCACTGATCGTTCTCTTTGGTTCCGGGCAGGTGGAGCATACGTCTTATTGGTATAATCCTGTGCAGAATTATGAACTGCCGCCATTTCAGTTCGATGTCATTTGTTGTGAGCCAATGATCTGTATATTTCAGCCCACTCATCCTGGTCCGCTATTCGCAGGTCGTGCTCCGATTTCCTCTGGGAACTCACAGGTTGTGAAATACGTGCTGCGGGCAGCATTGCGTTATAACCTGGCTTTGCTGTTCCTATGCACTCAAGTTGAGTAGCTCCAAAGCGTTCGGAAGACTTACAGCAGTAGGCTTTTCTTGGGCTAAGACACTTCCAGAGCGGTGTAAGGCGATCTGAAATCTTTTTGCGTTGCAATCGTTCTGTTGCTTTGCAGCCTGACAAAACTTTAGACGGGGCTTTTAGCATCGTCATTCAGCAAGGACTTTTCGCCTCCCTAGTCAGGTGCAAGGTGCTGGACTCGTTATCCAGTACCATTGGGGACGGGTCCCACGGCGGGCGCGTTGTTTGGCCGGGCCGGGATGGAGAGGCTAGCTGAAAGGATGACATGGCGTCCGTGCCGTAGTGCTGCGCGGCACATCAGGCTTTCGTAGTCCTACCCGGCGAAATGGCGAAGACAAAGCCATCCGTTGAATTTGGACGACATGACCTGGGTGACTGGTTCAAGGTGTACGCGACAAGCTTTCTTAGAAGTGCTCTGAGCCCGCAGGCTTCCATACAAATCCACTCAGAATACGTTTATCAAGAAAAGAAAAGCAAACAACTAATCTCCAGCGTATCCGCGTCCTGCAGACGCTGGAAACAGCGGATCTCTATTTGCAGAAGTAACAGTGCTGTGCGCTGGCCCTTATGCGGCTCCGCAAGGATATATACTGCGTGATAGGCCAAGGCCGGTCAGCTGGCTGCGCAAGATACAATTTCCATCGGACGCTGAAACATTTACCGCTCGTGTGCCGTCGCTCGTGATGTACGTCCAAGGCCAAAATTTCGGCAGTGGCTGTCGCCTTAAATATTTAGCTTGTTTGCAAGCACGTAGAACACACGTTTGTATAGCGTGGTCTTGCAAATGTTTACAGCCTACTCGCTTCGTGAATACGCTGTGTCTAAAAATGACTCATGCCTTTCTGCGTGGTTAACAACCGTGCTATATTCTGTTGGGCAGTTTTTCTTTACCTAGACGGTGGGTACGCATAATCATTTAACTAAGTCGGGATGCAGTGTAGTGCAGAATGGTGTGCTGTGGCTGAATATGCACGAAACATCAAGCTTTTTGAGGGACGGGAAACGCTTAACTCCGCATGTGGTACAGTTCCATCAGTGCATTTTTTGTTAGGATGTGCTTCCAATGCCTGTCAGCTTACTGCCTTGACCCAGGGCCGACCGAGTGAGAGGGGCGACTTGCTACCAACTGCAACACATTAACTCCGAGCAAGCGAAACACCTGCAGGTCGTGACGATGCCTTTTGAAGCATTTGAAAATTTTGAACTTAAGCGGTCAGACAGTCATGGTTTTTAAAGCTACTACGCTTGCAAAGACTGATCACAGGTTCGTGAAGTTTTTAGCACTAGAAAACGCAATATCTTGAATGTTTCCACACTGAATATCAGGCGTCCGCACGCGGGTTATCTGATGAAGTGGACCTTTCTGCACGATGGCAATATCATCACGACCTCACATACTCCATTCGATTGGCATGGAAGTGACAATGACATGGAAAATGTAAAATTTCAAAACTATATAAAGGCTGGGGCCGCAAACGCGTCTGGATCTCGACGGTCCGGCGTATCAGGCAGCACCTTCGGACAGAAGAGCAAACTAATAATGACAGCGGCAAATCAAACCGCTGGTGTTTACGGTGCTTTGGCGGGTTGATGCCAGGTCCCATGAACCAGAGCAGATGAAGCGGTGAAACAAACTGCACTGCGCGGACGGATTCATGGTCGCAGCCCACTAACGAGTGGCAAAACTGTCCGACCGGGCGGTTACTGGTGCGCCGGAAATCGACCGGAAAGCAGCCAATGACACCGTTCTCGGAACCCATCTGTAGTGTAAGACGCGTTCACTTGCACCGGGAGGTACTGAGCCATGAAGATGCACACGGGATCGCAGGACTGTCCCCGACTGTGCTCACAAATTATTAGGAGCGGAGTTTTTAAACTGTTGGAAAGGTTTCTGCGTTGATCTTCTAGGGACACTATCTTCATCAACAAGGTTCGGCTAAAAATGCTTTGCAAAACTTTACAAAATGTCTGTAAAGATGCATGTTTTCATAAAACTGCGACTGATTGGCTGTAACAAGACCATGGCTTTATAGGCAGGTATGAAGCCAGATCTTTTCGCACCGAAACGTTTCGAAATTCCAAAAAAAGTTAGCATGTCTCACAAACGCGACAGAACAAACGCAACTGTCTTGGACGCTTTTACGTTCACAGGTATGCAACACATACAGGGCTTAATGCTTAAATATGATACACGATGAATTGTTGATTACATGGTTCTAAAAACCCACGAGGCACCGATTTAAACGATAATGACACTGATATGACTATCAATGATAATGACTATATCCAACGCCCATGACCAATGCACATGGCTGATTACCAGGCCTGGTAGTCGCCAAAAAAGAATGAACTGAAGACATGGACCAAAGGAAAATGTTAATTAACGCGAACGCGACAATGAAAACTCCTTTGTCAAGCATGTCCCCGGTACCGAAGGGAGTGCTCTCGATCCCATTTCAGCCCTTTATGTCGAACTGTAGTGTCTATCCAATTGTTGAACACCTGCGAAGATAAGGGCTCTTTTGCATCGATGAAGGCCCCTGCATTTGTCTGGGACCAAACGACCGGGTCAGGGGGCCTCCGGGGTCAGGTAGGCCACCATGTACCATGTATCCCTCTAAGGGCTGGGAGATCTCGCCCATATGCCACCGGCATAACAGCCGGCAGGCACCCCGTGCTGGGACGGAATGGCTGTTCATCCCCTGATCCAACGATAATGTGGCCCCAAGTTTACTCACGAGGTCGTTTATCCTGCAAAAGTTTAGAGGCCCTATTGGTGCTGAACAAAACGGATCAGAATGAGGTCAACAATGAAAACATGCCAACACAAACGAGGTGTTCGTCCTTGTTCAGGATCAACATGTGAAACAAATTACGCAGGACAGTTTTGAGCCTGCGTGCTAACAATCGGTAGGAGTAGAAACAGCTGCCGGGGCTACATTGTCCATAAGACCGAGCAGCGTTGGCCACTGAAGCCAATACCAAGCGGTGGGCGCCTGGTGTGCGAGAACAGCCGTAGTAAAATATTGCCTTCAAAATTATTTGAAATCGGTTCATACCGTTCAGAAATTACACTGTGACGTATACTTCACTCGCAAAATTTTGAAGATATCCCCTGAAAAGAATAACAGCGACAGCAACACGAAAACTGAGATTCTCCCTTCATTTGTCCAGGTCTACCACCAACTTCCAGCACCGTTTGGCGGTGCTGTAGACGCTAATCCGTTACTATTATAAATATAATAATTGCACAGACGAAACTTACTGTCTTGGCACCTTCTAAATGTATTAATTGACGTCCTAAGGCATTTCCTCCCTCAGGCACCTAACGTTCAACGGGGTTTCCCTCCGAAACATCGTTGTTTTCGTCCACCGGTTGGCCGCCACCTAGCGTTACGACGCGAAACTGACGCCGCGCGGCCTCCGCAGACTGCAATGCCGGACATCGGGGTTTTTGTTGTTGAATTGCGAGCGCGTAAGGCCAAAACTATGCTACGTATTCTTCCACTACTCGATTCTGAATAAAAGTGAGCATTCTCAGAGCAAGACAGGTTGATGCGAATATAAATTTATGACCGCATTTTGATCTAAGATCTACGTCCACGGCGTCTTTATACGCAGAATAAACTCGGCCCAGCTTTGCAGTGCTTTCGGCTAAAAACAGTATTCTGAAAACTTGCAAAATGAATAGCACCGGTGGTTTATTAAATGCACTCATCTAACGCCTGTTTCCTTCAGTTTATAGACTTTAAAATATAAACAGAATTGCATCTGTCAGTGTCCTAGCTTGCGTTTCACGAAAAGGAATGTCCCACCTTTGAACATATTGAAGGAAGCATCAGATACGCTGGAAGAAGCTCGCTTATAACGATTGGTATACTTTTAAATGAAAAGGGCTACTCTAGGCAACATAAGCTCCACTTTAGTAAATATACTCATAAACACGTTTTTGTTTTATTTGGGCATGGCACGCTTGTATGACGTTAGATGTGCTGCCACACTGGCCGTGCGAAGTGCCGCCCTAGCACTTTCTCGTGGTACTTCAGCTCGCCAAGAGATGGCAATGGCGGTGCAGGACGTATTTGTT